ACGGAAGAGACTACAGTATGATATGGAAACCTGGGTGCCCAAGTGGGATTTTCTATGCATTCACACTTTTTGTAGTGCTTATGTTATTAAAATCCAAATTTCAGTCTGTACCAGCTTGGATCGCTCAGTCCTCCTTTGGAGAAGGGGAGGGACGCCGTCCGGTGACTTTCGGTGCCTATGGCTTGTGACTGACTCAAGGCCTACGCGTGCTTTTCTCTCTCTGCAAGGGCACTGTGAACTCAAATGATCAATCTTGTGTGAGAACTAGTCAAAGTCATCCTAGTGCGCTCGTTGGGTGATTGCAGGGTTTGTTAAGGCCTACAGATAACCGTGCTCGGCGCTGGATACGTGCGCGCTTCATACGCTCGAACTGATGGGACCTGCTAGACCCTGCCAGCTGGCTCTGCAGTTTTGACTTAAATGGCCATTCCCCGTGGCAATCGCCTCCTGCTTTTACACTCCCTTCTACCGCATGCACATGTTCTCACAAATGAAGGGCCAACTGACATGAGAACAGCAGAATATCAATTTCCGCATAAAAACGGCAAAATTCTTAAGGGCACTCATTGATGAACGCTCATCGACTGCTGACGGAACTCATTTGTCCCTCTCTGCCTTGCCTTGGGCTTCATTTCTCGGCCTTGACAGCAGTCATAGCGGTCAGCGAACATTCATCAATGAGTGTGAATATCTTCCGACCTAAACCAGCAAGACAACGAGCTCGTAAATCAACGATTAGAACGTTAGACTCTGATCAAAAGGTCGCGTGTTCGAGGCTTGGTGGTGCACCACTTGGGTCTGGGTATGACTGGCTGACGACGCTTAATAAGCCAGGAATGGCCATTGTAGTCTCCCTTGTATTTGCCGGTAATACTATCAGCCTTTAATAGGATTGTTTTCGTTCCTGCCATGTGGCAAGCTTCGCCACTGTCCCGGTAAGTATGCAGTAGTGGATTGCAGTGAAAATGAAACGACATCTATATCACCACCTTTTTTGACAAGTGCTAGGTTTCGTTCTTACAGACCTTAATAACATCGCACAGTGACGTTTCCTGTTAAGAGAGGTCAAACCTTTTCAACAGTCAGTTTTCGCTCAAAACACCTGATGAGGTATTTGCTTTGCGTACTGTTTTGGCTCTCTCAGATGATAGGCTATCACATAACTAGGGTAGTTGACACTAGCAATACGATTGTTCTGGCTATATGTCGCACCTTTTCGCGCTGTTCTTTGCAAGTATTAGTATAAATCGCAGCCTTTGTAGAAGTGCTGTCAATAAGACCAGTTTTAGTTTGCTTAAGCGTAAGTAGTCTCATATTTCATGCCTGTTAGATCTTTTTTTCATGTTTTGAGGCAGTCCAGTCATTAAGCCTCTTTGTGTTAGGTTTTTAGTCTCTGTCCAGTATTCCTCTGCTTAGTAAGCCAGTCTTTTGATGATAAAATCCTGTTTTAGTCGTTCCACCGAATTGCCCAATTGCAGCCACAAGACTCACACATTTCTTTCTCGTCGCATAAGCATTTTTAAGTATAGTTTAGTCTGTTTTCAATGTCTTAGGGTATTCCTTAATGTAGAAGTAACCATGGGAATTTTCGGTGGTAGCTTTCACTTTATCTGTACCTTTTTACCTTGTAGGTCTCATACAATTAGCTACTTCTACCGTTAGACGTTTTTTATCTGACTTTTGTTCGATTTTCAGGAAGGGAAGGAATTTGCGCACTCCCAAACCTTATTTGCCTTTGCTTTGCATCTGATTTTTCTAGGTCACAGAGTCCTCGTGCCCGTTCTCCGCGGTCTAACCGATCGTTCGCTTCGCGAGGTCTGCGTAAAAGCTCCTATGCCGTACAACGAGCCCAGTCTGTGTTGTCAGGGTCATGGAGGTAAAGTGTGAATTCTCACTTGCATCCTTTCCCGTCCTTTGCATGTCTCTTTGCTGAGTTAGCC